AAGTAGACCTCTCTGAAGCAATTGAAACCATAACACTTAGGTCAAATAATACTTCAAGATTCAATCTATTAGATCAGTTGGTTCAACATACAAGCTTCTTAACTTACAATTTTCACTTTAAGCTATTTGGATTTATAGGTTTGAATATTTGGGTAAAAGTTATGTGTTTTATATGACATAGTTCTTTTTTATTGGGAACTTGATTAGATACTAAATTGCTAAGTGACTGAGTTCAGACAATAAACAATTTGACCCTTTCTGAAAAAATAAATTTGTAGGTTATCTACGATAGAGTTACTCTGAGAAGCAGGGGATTTGCATTTGTTACCATGGGAAGTGTTGAAGAAGCAAATGAGGCAATCCGGATGTTCAATTTATCTGTAAGTGATGATGCTAAACAAATGTTTTGGCTGCCACATGTATTATTATTAGTTTTTCTTCTCCTTCACCACTTTTACTTTTCACGTGCTTTCCCCATATTTTAGTTTATGGAATGTGTGGATTACAAGTCCTGTAAAACAAAGGTTAGCCTATAAGGAGTTTTAAGGATTTCCTTGAAACATTGGCCTGAGAAACATATTTAAATAATAATAAACAAAAAAAATGAAAATTTCTTGCGTTTTTTGTATGTTCAAATTCAATTTACAAAGGCAACCCCCAATCTCCCATATATATGAAAAGTTTCCCAATATAATTAAAAGAAAGAAGAATAAGACTTTTATGAGACAATCTCACGAAGCTTGCTCCCATGAAACCCATAATGTTCCAGTAGAGCCAACCCATTTCAGCTAACTAGCAAAGAATGATCACTTTTTGAAAATGCACTCAACAAATTGCTTTGTTTTTACTATGGACAGTTCCCCGGATTTAAATGGTACATCTGAGTATGTGACCGTCTCGCACAAAATTTTGCATAGAAAAAATCTCAAAGAAATAATTTTAGATACTTAACTATATGAAGGGAGCCATGGCACACCAGTTATGATGTCGGTGTCGCTGTGTGACTGAGAGGTCACGAGTTCAAGTCCTTGAGCAGTTGAGTGGCCTCTTGTTATAAATGATAATGGAAGGCTTGCTCCTAATAAATCCTTGTGGTGGGACCCGGGACCCTTCCCTGGACCCTCGCATTGCGGGGACGACAATGTGCACCGGATGCCCATTTTTGTACTCACTGAAGTATACATTTGTTCCTTCTATAGGTTTACCCTCACTTTTAATGACACATCATCTAAAAAATGCTTAAACTTCTTGTTTCCCAGAAAAAGGAGAAACACTAACATTTGATATATGAATATATCCTTAAATCCTTTTCACTGTAATCTACATCAAACAGAGTGATGTAGTGAAGGAAACCGTAAGTAAGGCAGTTCTGTGTATTTTATTTAGAATAAATAGTATCGAAATTGTTTCTCTCGCTTTCCCGTATTCTAGTTTCTCTAAATTTATTCTTGCTGGCTTGACCATGTTACTTATTGGAATTCACAGAGCTTTGGTTTAACCTCTCCTCATCATGCTATCGACTTTTAGTGTATGTTGGTTGGGGTTCTGAGATGGAACTATGGAATCATAGGGTGGAGGACAAATGGTCCCTTCCCAAATTTGTCAAAAAATTAATTGGAGAGTTGTTTAAAATTCTGTATGGATAGACTCTAGAGTGAACTTAAGAAACCCGTTAAGCTTAAGTGAACCTTGATTTACTAAAACTTTTGTGAATATATAGGTGCATGTAACATTTACTTGTTTGATTAATTGTTAGGTTAATCATGGGGAATGGAGTAAATGTTGGTTTGGATTATGAGATGACTTATAAAGTTGGAAACATACCAAAATTACTTATGTACTGATTTTAATCCACGAAAACCTTCAATTTGAGGTTCTCCCAAACTCGGTTAACTGGGTTATGGAGGTTTTCAGAGGTAGCTGGGGTTAAACTTAGGTTTTTCAGATCTTGTCATAAGATGGTAAAGATACGAGAAAATTTCTATTTCAAGCAATTTGTTTAAAATTCAATCATGAAGAACCTAGGTTCAATCTGATGAAAATAATAGAGCATAAGTTACCCCTCCCTCCAAGGGGCTTTTTAAGGAAAGCCTAAATTTTACTCCATTTCCCTCCCATCCCATCCAACTAAACCACGTAAGGTAATACAAAAGCATTCCCCTCTGCTGAACCAAACAAACCTAATGATTAACCTATCTAAACAGCAAATAGGGGGGAGATCGGTGAAGGTCAACTTCCCTGAGGTCCCTAAAGGAGGAGAAAGAGAAGTGATTGCCCCACGGGTAAGGAGCAGCAATGCAGAAACTACTGACAGTCAATTTAAAATATATGCCGCGAATCTCAACTGGAGACTCACATCTCAAGGCCTTAAAGAAGCTTTTGCAGACCAACCGGGGATGTTGAATGCGAATGTTGTGTATGACTTGGACTCTGGAAGATCTCAAGGTTATGGGTTTATTAGTTTTGCTTCTGCTGAAGAGTTGGAAGCTGCCCTTAAAACCATGGATGGAGTGGTAATGTTATTTAAATTCCTTGTGGTTTTTTTCTGTTTCAAGTACTGCAGTTGTTACAGTCCCCACACTAAAGGAGTGTTTGTGGTTGCTTAAAAGAGCACTTTTGTGGTCTTTGTTAAAAAACGCTAAAAGTAGGGTTTTTGCTCAACTGTAAGCACTTTAAAGCTAAAATCGGTAAGATCTGGTACTTAAAGCACCCTTTAAAATGGGTGCTTAAAATATTTTTTACTATTTTATTTAACTAGTACATTTTAACAAATCTATTACGGAGTAGTTTGTTCAACTTCAAGGTCTTTAAACCATGTTTTAGAGTGTGGGTCAAAATCATGATTGTTAATTCATTCATTCATTTTTTTTGAAAACTATGTTTTTTTAAAAACATTCCAAGTTCTACTTTATAAATAATTATTGTTTACAAACACTATCAACTTTTACAATTAAGCAAATTATCTGTAATCTCTAAAATATATCACTTCTCACAAGGAGAACTAAGAACAAATACTACATAAAAGATTAAATCCAATTTATTAGTCAGTTTAAATCATGTTTCTAACACTAGCTAGTACAGCTCAAACTGTCACATCATGATTGTTTGTTGATTCATCTATTTATAACATATTTTAGGAAGTGGAAGGTCGGCCTTTGAGATTGCAGGTTGCCAAGGGGAAAAGTTTTTAATCCATCTGTTGTTGAGATGAAACCCGAGAATGTATTGCAGATAATTTAGAGATGCTTTCTGGGTACTGGGATCCTTGCACAGTTATATCAATCCTTCGCTTACTTGCATTTACCGTGCTTCTTTCGCCAAGTTAATCTTACTGCAGCATTTTAAGTCCTCCACAGTTTATAAACGTACTAGCTATTAGTTTTGTTAAATCTATTGAGCCATTTGGCTAGGTTTATTCAACTGAATTGACTTTGAGGCTTTGTTTGCTTGTGGGGAATATAGCTTGTTTCCGTTAATGTTTTCCGAGGATATTGTAATTTTTTTTCTGAATTTATTTATTTTCCTGTTCTATGCAAAATTTAATGTTTGATCCACAAAATAGAAAACATGAATCTGTTTAAGGATTCATGTACACATAAACATTAATCTGTCATATGCATAATCATTCCAATAGGCTATCACTCCTCATCTCTAGTCTAAACTCTCACATAGAGCTGCAAGCCTGCAACTTCATCCCTTTTAGCCCTTGATTATGTCATTTGGGTGTTGCCGGGTAGTGATAGGAAATGAGGTCAACAAAATGTTATAAGATGGCCGTTCATAATAATTTATAGACAAAATCCTAAAATATGAGCAAGAACATTTAAGAATAGGCATGGACCCGGGCCGGGTCAAGGCCCGGTCGGGCCTCGGGTCCTATAAGGGTAGGCCCGGGACCGGCCCGGTCAATGACCGGTTCCGGTTCGGGCCGGGTCACCCGCCCGGGTCACGGGTCGGGCCACCCGCCGGGCCGGGCCGGGTCAATAATTTTTTTTTTTATATTAATTATATATTATACAAATTGCTATTAAAAACAAAGTTCAAGTGCATTTATTTGAAATAAGAACTACATTTGAGAATTGAGAAAAAAATAACAATACGAAATACATTTTGTAATGAATATCAATTGGGATTTCCGCCACCGTTGGTTGTTGTTTTCCCTTTGTCACAAGACTTCATATGTTTTATTGGCATCCCGTATCCGTATGAACCCCCCAAGCAACACTCTTTCTTGCACCACCTGCAAGTTGCCCACCACAGTCCGGTCTTCGGGTCCTTCCACTTGTCAAAATTGTTTTGCATAAGAGAAGATGTACTTTCCATATTTAAAATGGTATATGTATAACACTATAAGTAATTAAGTAGGAATGTAGGATAATAAGAGAAGATAAAGATGGAGAAGAGTTTGAGAAGAATTGGAGAGAAGGTGTAGAAAAATGTTAGAAAATAGATGTATTTATAGGTGTTTTTGAACCCCACTCCCCACACCACCACCCCCGGGACCCCCCTGCCCCCCACCCATAGCCCCAACGGCTATATAGCCGTTTGGGAGCTTTGAATTTTTTTTTTTTTTTTTTTTTTTAAGTTATACACATATTGTAAAATAAATTAATTAATTTAATGAATTAAGTAAAACTAAAACAAATGTTACAAAATAGGTGTATAAGTATTTAAACAAATTACATATTCTAAATGTATTTTTAATTTAAAAACCGGCTTTATATTTTAGAAAAATAATTTTAAGTCGTTAGATTGTAACCAATTAATTAATTTGAGAAGTGCTACATATGAAAAAGTGAACACATATTTATTTGAAATATGAAGTACAAGTTTACAAATTAATTTGAACTACAACTACAAATTTACAATTTTGAAATATGAAGTACAAGTTTACAATTTTGAAATATGAAGTACAAGTATAAATAAATTTGACAAGTGCTATAAAATACATTTTGTACTAAATTCTAAAATACTAATCAATCGGAATCTCCGGCATAGGTAGAGCCACCATCGGTTGTTGAGTCATCCATAAAATCTTGGGAGGGGGTGATGCTCAATTCTTGAGTTCTACGTGCGGCCTTCAACCAATCGTGATAGCATATAAGCGTCTCAAGAGACTCCGCGCTCAATCTCGATCTAGATGCCGTTAGGACGTTGCCGGCCGAACTAAATTCTTGTTCCACCGCAACTGTTGAAACCGGCATTGATAGTACTTGCTTAGCCATCCGTGCTAAAATCGGGAACGTTCTTTCTTTTGACTTCCACCAGTCTAGAACGTCAAAGTCATCATTTTCTTCAAAATCAACTTCATATGTTAAATACAAAGTAATCTCATTCAATGCGCTTTGTTCAGTGACGTGAGTTGTTTTAGTTTTTTTCATAAGATTGCCAAATGCAGATTTAAAAATCAATTTTCCTTTAGATGAAGATGTTCGTGACGGGGGAGGGGGAGCGTTGCTATATTGTGCACGAAACTCATTAAATAAGGCATAAAATAAAGTACTAACCTCGTTGTATTCCGTTTTCGGATCTATGGGGTTATCCTCATACATTGGAAATTCACCGAAAAACGCAAGATAATAGAAGTTGAAACAATCTTCCAAATTAGCAAGTCTATAACGAGGATCGAGAATAAATGCAATACCATAAATATGGGGAATATGCGCATAATATTTTAAAAACTTTTCCTTCATATGATCACAAAAATAATGAACGAAAACGGCATTTTGAAATTCTTTAAAAGCATCGGCGAGATTAACAGCTTGTGGAATAAATTGGTTTGCGGTAGGTTTATAAACATGACTAAAAGTTTCAGTAGCATTAAAAAAATATATCAAAACATTACAAATTTTTTCGCAAGTGTCGATCTCAGCCGCGTTTATAATATAGTTATCATGTTCTTTTAAAAAAGCAGGAAAATGTTCTTTATATCTAAGAACAACTTTAAGTAATTTATAAGTACTATTCCAACGAATACTCAAATCTTTAGGAAAAGCAACATATCTCACACCTCTTTCAGTCAAATAACTTTGCCATTTTAATCTAAGTTGACCATTACCCCAAATACGTCTAACCCCCCCCCTTTATTACCTCCATGGAATCTCCTAACGCTTTTAAACCGTCTTGCACACATAAATTTATAACATGACATGCACACCGTTGATGAAAAAATCTACCCATCAAAGAATTGGCACCACACAACTCACGCAATCTAGGTATAGCAGCAGTATTATTAGTAGCATTATCGAAACCAATAGCAAACACCTTATCAATCAAATTATACTCAATTAAAATACGCTCAATCAAAATATAAATATGTTCAGCGGTGTGACGATCATTAAATTCACGAAAAGCAAGAACACGTTTATGCATATTCCAATCCTCATCAATATAATGTGCAGTCAGACCCAAATAATATAAATGATGAAAATCATCCTCCCATATGTCAGAACAAATAGTAACACGCCCATCAAAGTTTGCAAAAAAATTTTGTAACCTTTCCTTTTCCGCATTATAAAGCCTTATTATTTCTTTCTTAACAGTTTTGCGACTATAATTTCTAAATTGAGGATTTAAACTACCTTGTGCATAATCTCTTAAAGCAAGACTTTCAGAAAACAAATAAGGCAAATTTTCTTCACAAATTAAGTTAGCCATACCAGTCAAATTTTGTGCATCATTGTAGGCGAAATTACCAAAAGGTTGAGAATTCGCAAACCTCGATATTTGAGTTTGCTTCCCCGTTCCGCCGCCTAATTTTGCGTACTCCACGGGGTGCTTTGACTTAAGATGCCTTGCGGCAGATCCGTATCCGCCGGAGGTTCCCAAACTATAATTGTTGTTGCACCACTTGCAAGTTGCGTGCCAATAGCCAGTTTGTGGGTCCTTCCATTTATCAAAATTATTTTGCATTAATTCAGACTTACTTTTTTTATTACCGGTGGCGGTTTGGGATGAGGCAGGCGCGTCGGCGTCGTGGCTGCCGGCACCCTCCTCCTCGGCCGTCTCCGGTTCCAATTCCTCCGCATCTTCATCCTCAAGCTCCTCTTCGTCAATGGTCGTCGGCATTTGTTGTTGTTGTAGAAAGCGGTTATTATGTCGGGCCAATTCTTGTTGGAGTTGTTCTTCGGACATCGCATCTCCATCTCGCCTTTGGTAACCCGTTTCAAAATCATCTCGGCTTTGAGATGAAGACCCGGCAAGTTCTTTACCTTTGCGGGATTTCTTCCTCCCAATCTCGTTTCTTCGATTGCGTTGGAGGTTACCCAAATCAACCGAATATCTACCACCTTCCATCTAAAAAATGTAACAAATATTAATTCACAACAAATATAATAATGGATACAAAACTAATGCAACTAATTAAAACTATTTTAATTAATACTTCAAACTAATTTTTTGCAAAGTAGAATTAATGTGTGTCTCTACAATTAAAATTATAGCAACTTTTGAAGTAAATAACTAGTACAAGTAAAAATGTAACAACAATGCTAATTAAGTAGTTAACTAGTATAGTGACAAATGTAACAAACTAACAACTAGTTAAATAAAATGTGAAGTATTTTAATTAGTATAATGAAAAATGTAACAAGAATGCTAATTAAGTAATTAACTAGTATAATGAAAAATGTTACAATAATGGTAATGAACTAATTAACTAGTATAATGAAAAATGTAACAAGAATGCTAATTAACTAATTAACTAGTATAATACTAGTTATAGTAAGTAATATATAATATAATGTTTATATTATATAATATATAAGTATACTATACTATACGATGAGTAATACACTTATATTTTATACTTTAATATATAAATATATATTAAGTAGATGTAGAATGTATGTATTAAGTGGATATAATAATTGTATAAGAATTAAATATTAGAGTATAATGGAGAATTGGAGATTGGAAAATAAGTATATATAAAATATAAGTAGAGAAGTAGATATTATTATGTATTAAGTATATAATAATAGTTTATAAAGTATATTTAATACTTTATTATATAAAGTATATATTAAGTAGATATAGTATGTATGTATGTATTAAGAGATATAAGTAGAAATTAAGTAGATAAGAAATATAAGCAATATAGTATATGTAGATAATAATATATATAAGTAGATAATTAATATATAAGTAGATATAATAATTGTATAAGTATTAAATAGTAAAATAAAATATAAAGGAGAATAAGAGAATTAGAGAAGATGAATATGGAGAATTGGAGAATGGAGATGAGTAGAGAGTAGGATTTAGAAGAGTTGGAGAAGAGGTGTGAAAAAATGTTTAAAATTAGGAGTATTTATAGGTTTTTTTTTTAACCCCCACCCCCCACCCCAACCCCCCACCCCAACCCCCACCCAAACCCCCCTGACCCCCCCCTGGTACACCCAACGGCTATATAGCCGTTTGGGGTAGCCGTTTGAGCCAAAACAATCCAAAAAAAAAAAATTTTTTTTTTTTAAAAAGTTGACCGTTAGGCCCGGGCCCGGGCCCGACCCGGCCGGGCCGGGCCTCCAAAACCAGGACCCGAGCCCGGTCCCGCTAACCCGACCGGGTCTCTGCCCGAACCGGACCCGGACCCGAGAACCGGGCCGGTTCCGGGCCCGCACAGTGACGGGCCGGGCCGGTCCCGGGCCGGGCGGCCCGAACCGGGTCCACGCCTATTTAAGAATATCAAATTGAGACTCATGTTTTTATTTACTAAATAGTAGGGGTTGATTCAGGCCGGGCCGGGTCCAGGTTTAAATGAGAGAAAAGATGTCTTACTAATCAACTATAAGAGTAAGACAAATCAAGGGGAGCCCAACAAAGATAGTGGATAAGATAGCAATAGGCAAGACAATAAGAAGACCATGTGATTAGGTAGTGAATAAACTCAAGAGGAAATAATAGGAGTACGGCTAAACTTATGGTGCATGCCTTAACACGAATAAGTGGAAGGGAGGCCTTGGTAGGACCAATACTTCCAACATTCTCAACCTTATTGGTCCTAGGTGGTGTAGAGTAACAAATACACGGTTGTGAGGAGACTCATCATCGCTGAACCATTAGAAGTACATCATTGCGAGCATACAAGTAATAGATGAGAACCAAAGTTCCCTTTTAGACCAAACTTACCATGCAAACCCAATTCACGATGGACTGAACTCTACCAACTGGTCCTCGAGTTCAGAACCAAAACCATCACAAAACCATCACGATGGACTTAACAAGCACAACACATGTTAATAGACCACACAAGCAAGCATCCGGGAGAAGTTGGAGATTCCAACTAATCCAACAACCACACAAAGCAAATACAAAGAAAATAAAAGAAACAATATTATTTCTATAACTAGCACAGACAGAGCTCACATAATCATTTGGTATCACATTTTCAAAACACAGAAAATAGCATACCAAACATCACAAAAAATTTAATTTAAAGAGAATTAAGCACATTTAAAGCAAACTCAGAGGAAATATAGTCAAACACTTTGCACATATCATTTCTCTTATGCTCCCTAACGTCTCTATCTCTAATAACATGGCAATCACGCAACTCAAGCATAATGCACACAACATTCATATCATGCTCCACCTTAATAGAAATATTATTTTCTTTATTTTCACCATGAAAACCATTTTCATTCACAAATTTGGGTTTGGTTTCAACAAGTAAATTAGAATGAACTTCAACAGGCAAATGTTCCACCTCATTTGGAGCAACATCAGGAGAAATAAGCAAGCAAGGAAATTCATTTTCAACAAAAATGACATTTCTACTCATCAACACATTGAAGCAAGTTTCACTCCTACACCAAAGCCTATAACCTTTCATGCATTCATGATATCCTAAGAAATCATATTCCTTAGTCCTAGGTTCAGATTTATCATTCTCACGATTCACATAAGCAGCACAATCAAACACTCTCAAATTTGGCAAGTTAAGTGGTTCGCCCGTGAACACGGATTCAGGGCATTTTCCTCCTAAGGGAACAGACGGGGACAGATTAACCAAATCAACAGCATAACAAATAGCTTCCCCCTTATTAGAGAGCTCAGATGAAGCTAACATAGTCCTCACCCTCTCTAATAAAGTTCCAAACATCCTCTCAGCAACCCCATCCGGTTGGGGTGTGGAGGAAACAGATTTATGCATAGAAATACCCCAAGTATCACATAAATTACCAAGCCGATCATCACAGAAATCAAAACTGACAGTGGTCCTTAAAAAATTTATTTTCTTACCGGTTTGTTTTTCAACAAGGATTTTCCAGTTTTTAAACTTATCAAAAACTTCAGATTTATTCTCAATCACCAAAACCCACACTTTCTTTGAAAAATCATCAATCAATGTTAGAAAATAATTTTTCCCACCATGAGTGAAACACTATAAGGACCACACATATCAGCATGAATACAATCAAGCACATCAGTAGACTTAGGCACACATGGTTGCACACAATTCACAGAATCAAGTACGGGTTCAGCATGACAAACATACAAGTTGTTTTTCATCTCAGCTTTGAAAACAACTAAACAACCCTTCACAACTTTCATGATTCCCTTTCCCCATTTTCCCTTCAAACCCTCATTTTCAAGAGAAGCATAAGATAGCAAATTATAACACAGCTCAGGAACATGTCTAACATTCTTCAAAGTAAGCACATAACCAGAAGAGAACCTAAGGCATACATCTCCTATTCCTAGCACATTGCATTTCTTCTTATTTGCTAAAGACACAAAGTCATGCTCAATCTCTCTATAGTTTGAAAAAACATTTTTCAAAGGGGACATATGAAAAGTACAACCAGAATCTACCACCCAATCTGATTTACCCAAAGAACCAGATATCACAGAACTCAAGTAGTCATAATCAGATAGATTTGTCATAAAAATATCACCTAAATCATCTTCACACGTAGTCAAATTAGCATGTTCACTATGCTCATTTTTCCTAGATTTAGGACAGTCTCTTATGAAATGACCAGATTCATGACAATAATAGCAACGCCTCGAATTAGACCTAGACTTAGATCTATGTCATCTTCTATTATTTTCTCTACCCCTCACATGCATAACCTCATCGGATTTTCTACTCTCACCCATCTGTTTTAAATCTAATTCCTTACTTTTAAGACCATTTACCACAATGTCAAGAGTCACATTATCTCTATCATACTTAATAGCAGATTTCACATCACCAAAGGAATCATGAATAGCATTTAAAAGAGCATTTAATTGTTGCTTCTCTTGGTGGGGTTTTGGCCTAGTCCCCCTCTCCTTGTTGTACTCTTTCAATATTTCAATAAAACATGACAAATGTCCCCCGGCATTTGCCCCACTGATTTTGGATGTTTGCCTTCCGGGGTAAAAAAAAAAAGAGCAATAGGGGAATAATCATCAACATGGTTATCACCACACAACTTAATATCCGAAATAAGTTTGGTAAAAAACATCTAGATTTTCTTCAATATCCTTGGACATATCTAGTCTAAATTTGAAGAATTTCTCAAGTAAAAACATCCGGTTAGGCAAAGAGGTTACGTTATAAAGCTCTTCAAGATTATCCCACAAAGATTTTGCAGATTCTAAAATTCGCACTTTCTGAGCACACAATCAGATAAGTTCAAGTAAATTGTAGAACAAGCATTTTCATTCATTTTTGCTTTCTTCTCTTCCGTATCAGAAGTCAAATAGGTTTCACTAATGGACCTATATGATTTTTGTTGAATTAATATGCACTTTATTTTCTGTTTCCATATGCTAAAATCAGTTTTCCCATTAAATGGAGCCATTCTATACTGATTAAAAGCAGACATTTTCACACAGAAAAACTAAACAAGAATATATAAAATGCAACTTTAGCTAGAAAAACAACTTAATATTTATAGGGCTAAACAATAGCACAAATACATACAATCTAGCAAATATTAAATCAACAACAAATTCTAACAATTTAAAATAATTGAAAAGCAGAAACTGAAATTTCGGATAAAGAAGACTTACAACAGCCAAACACTAAGAGAGTGTTTGGACCTTACCCACCCAATTCAAAAATTGGGATTTTTCGGACTGTTGACTGCCTTTGACCGGCGTTGACCAACTGTCTGACCGTTGACCAACAACTCCAGCAGTCCAAGTCAGCAACCCACTCCAGCCAAACAACAAAGCAGCAACCCAGCAGCAGTCCGGGTCCAACAGTAGTTCACCAGCTCTGGTACGGCCAAACAAAGTTTCAGCCCAAACCCAGCTTATATTTCCGTCAAGCGTCACAGTTAAATGATTTGAACGGTCCAAATGGCCAGCCCAAAAAAAATTTTGTAGCATAGGTCCTCTTTCTCTTGCGTTTCTTCTACGCGAGAACTCAAGCTTCTGTGACCAGGTCCAGCAATCGCA